GGGGACGTAGTTACTGTACAAACTATGTTAATGTTATATATCAGTTTAAAGTGTAGCCCGAAAATACTTTTGTTTAGTTTTTTTTTTAATTTTCTCATTTTATGTACAATTTTTTCGCGAAGCAACCTGCCATGACTTCAGGCCGCATAGGTTAGGTAAATTAGTTAATATTTGTTTAATTTTTCCTATTTTGTGTATATATTTTTTGCGAAGCAACTTGCGATGACTCCAGGCGGCACAGGTTAGGTAAAGGACCCCGCACTTTTCTTATGCAAAGTGGCGACCCGTCAAATTTTCTGAAACTCTGGTATGTTGTTGTAGTCAACCTAGTTACCAAAAGTGTCAATGGACCCAACTCAATCCTATGACTAGTTTTCGATATACGGGGTGTTAAAGTTGAAAATTGCTAAGTTTTTGGGATTCACAAATGTATGACGGTAATTTTTGTAAAATCACACTAATTCTACTGTGCGGTCAGAGAAGCATATTTTCAAAAAGTACTACTCAATATGGTATTTTGTCGACAAAATATTGCACAGTACACATTTTTTGTACAGGGTGTTTTATAGAGAGAACCAAAACATAAAATTATTTTTTTAACGATTAATTCAAAACTATGTACTTAGGTATGAGTTGAATTTTGGGAAATGTAATATCACTAAAATATATCTACCTTAAAGCTTTAAAATATACAAGGTGATTTATTTGTTGAAAGGTATTCTATATTAAGAAAAGTACAAAAACCACGAGCACCTTGTATTCTAAAATTTCCCCCGTCAAATGTAACCATTTTCTCAATATATAATAATTTTAATGTCGTTTTAGGAAGTATGAATTTTAAATCCGATACTATGACTAGTTTTCGAGATACAGGGCGTTAAAGTGGAGAATGGTTGATTTTAGTTATTTTTTCTTCAAACTGAAAAGATAGATTGACTTAATGTATATAAAAGTTTAATATAATTGTGATTTATTCGTGAATCACCCTGTAACAGTAAATATTTTAAAATGTCCTTTTTTATGAACATCTGACCAAAAATTATATTAAACTTTTATACACATTAAGTCAATCTATATTTTCAGTTTGAAGGAAAAATAACTAAAATCAACAATGCTACACTTTAACGCCCTGTATCTCGAAAACTAGTCATAGTATCAGATTTAAAATTCATACTTCCTAAAATGACATTATAGTTATTATACAAATAATTATCTTTTATTCATTTATTGTATTCTCAAAATAAAATAAAATGTATGTGTCTGATCTTTAAATGTCTTTTATTAAAAAAAAATGTTATGTAAGATATTTCAAATGTTATGTTTCCGAGTAGGAAATTGCAAGATCTATCAAAATCAAGAACAAAAAATTGAGGTTACTATTTAAAAAAATTGTCAATGACGTCACTGCCCAAAAATGTGAAGTGGGGGAAAATTGAATTCTATTTAAAAAATTGCGCTTTGAGTAAACAAAATTGACCTGTCCGAGCATTTTTTCGAAAAACCAACTACTTCCATTATAATGAATTTATTCCTTTCATTTGAACCATACTGTTTATTAAAAAAATGGTTACATTTTTTTTTTTTTTTTTAATTTGGTGTCATCGGCGTCGACTGCTACGGCCATTAGCCTAATGGTTACATTTGACGGGGGATATTTTAGAATACAAGGTGCTCGTGGTTTTTGTACTTTTCTTAATATACAATACCTTTCAACAAATAAATCACCTTATATATTTTGAAGCTTAATCGTGTCTTTTTTTGTGTTGAACAATTTATCGGTAGAGTTATCCAATGTTATAAATATCTGAGATTTGGACATGTCTCTAAGCAATGTAGGAGTACGGAAGAACGATGTATTCAGTGCGGATAAACTAAAAAAGGGGCTCACAAATGTGATAAGGATATTTCTTTCTGTATTCACTGTAAAAGTAATGACCATCTTTCTATATCCAAACAATGCCCGTTTTATGAAAAACAAAAAAAAATTAAAAATATAATGGTAGAACATAAAACTTCATTTCTTGAAGCCAAACAATATTGTGATAAATCTTTTTCAAATTTTGCAAGTCAAAATTCCTTTTCTGTTTTATCAAATTACAATCAAAATTTTCCTATACTCCCTCATTCAAATCAAAACAAACCTTTATCTCAGCCAACGCCTCATAATGTAAATACAAACTTTGTCACATTATCTCAAATCTTTCTATTGTCAATAATGGTCAACCTACTATCTTAACTCGTCCTGATCAAAATGCTTCAATGGTTGATATTACTTTATGTTCCCCGGAAATAGCCAACAAAGTTAATTGGTCTGTTTATCCAGACACTTTGGGATCTAATCATTTTGTTGTCCACATGGAGCTTCTGTCTAATAGGATAATAGAAGAAATTAACCCTAAAAGCAAATGGAATATAAAAAAAGCCAACTGGCCATTATATACTGCCTCCATTGACGTTTTTTTTGAAAATAATTGTTATCAAATCGAAAGTATTTCTGAAAAATATCAATTCTTAATTAATAGTATAAACAATGCTGCACAAATATCAATCCCACAATATAAACCGTTCGCATGCAAACTTCGTAACCCTCCACCATGGTGGAATGCGGATTGTGACAAAATAATTAAAGAACGAAAATTATCGATTTCAACTTATAAACAAAAAGCAAATTTTGAAAATTATATAGAGTGTCAGGCCATAATGGCAAAAACTAAGAAAAAACTTAAAATGATAGCAAAAGAAAATTGGGTAAATTTTGTTTCTTCGCTCAACAAAACCGTACCATCTTCCACGCTCTGGAATCAAGCTAGGAAATTGTACAGGAAACCAGTGGCCAATATTAAACCTCTTGAAGATAAATGGGTAGAGGCATTTTTTGACAAAATTGCTCCGCCATCCGCTGAACCCTTCGCGGAGAGTAAAACAACCGTAAATAATCAAAAACATTTTTTACTAGAACCTTTAACTCATGCAGAACTAGACTATGCACTTAATAATAGAATGAATACCAGTCCTGGTTATGATGAAATCAAATATCCCATGATCCAACATCTCCCCAGTATTGCCAAAAACATGTTACTGGACATTTTTAAGGGTATTCTTGTAACACCAAAAATAAATCAATTTAAGGAAGTTGTTGTCATCCCAATTCTTAAACCAGGAAAAGATCCAAACCTCGCTCAATCCTATAGGCATATCTCTCTTATGTCCTGCATTCTTAAAACCTTAGAACGAATGATAAAACACCGATTAGAATGGTGGCTCTCTAGGAAAAACCTTTTACCAAAGTCTCAATTTGGTTTTAGGAAAGGATACGGCACATTAGATGCACTCACCACTCTTGTCACTGATGTTCAGCATACTCTTTCCAATAACAAATATTTGCCAACACTATCTATTGATATAGAAGGTGCATATGATAGCGTCTGCTTAACAATATTAAAATATAAAATGATTAACTTATTCCACATACCTCCCCAACTTGCGGAAACAATTGTTGATTTTTATACACAAAGAAAGTTGTGTATAAGAACACATAATAATAAAATTATAGGACCTAGATATAATAGTTCTGGCATTCCACAGGGTTCAGTATTGAGCCCCTTGCTGTATACGGAGATATGTAGTAGGTGTTAAGAGAAAGGCGATCTAAATCATATTTTCTTTAGTTGTGCAAACTATACCCAACAATCTCAAGATCTGATACAAGATCTAATTAAAAATAATGTATTTCCTCCATTTAACATTTGCCATCTCCTCTCACTTAATCAAACAAAAATTTACGACCTCTTGATAAAATTTGTGTGTGAAAGTAAAGTATGTTTGTAATTAATATTAGTCTTGCAACCTATGCTCTAACCCAATTGGTATATACCTACCTTTCCGTGGCCTAGTTTTGTGTGTAAAAAAAATGTCTTGACGGGCCCCTAGACAAGAAGAAATGTTTTCCTTTGTTTATTCCTTGCTTGCCTTATCTTTTGTTATATATTTTTCTTCTTTCTTGCTTAGGACAAGTGTGTAAGTGTGTATGATTGAATGTATGTATTTAGAGTGATAATGCAATTTAAACTTATATAATATATTCCGCGACTGGTTGAATGACAAGTGCCCAAGCAAAAAAAAAAAATTATCTTTTATTCATTTATTGTGTTCTCAAAATAAAATAAAATGTATGTGTCTGATCTTTAAATGTCTTTTATTAAAAAAAAAATGTTATGTAAGATATTTCAAATATTATGTTTCCGAGTAGGAAATTGCAAGATCTATCAAAATCAAGAAAAAAAAATGAGGTTACTATTTAAAAAAATTGTCAATGACGTCACTGCCCAAAAATGTGAAGTGAGGGAAAATTGAATTCTATTTAAAAAATTGCGCTTTGAGTAAACGAAATTGACCTGTCAGAGCATTTTTTCGAAAAACCAACTACTTCCATTATAATGAATTTATTCCTTTCATTTGAACCATACTGTTTATTAAAAAAATGGTTACATTTGACGCGGGATATTTTAGAATACAAGGTGCTCGTGGTTTTTGTACTTTTCTTAATATAGAATACATTTCAACAAATAAATCACCTTATATATTTTGAAGCTTAAAGGTACTCATAAGTACAGGGTTTTGAATTAATCTTTAAAAAAAAATAATTTTATGTTGTGGTTCTCTCTATAAAACACCCTGTATAAGAAATGTGTACTGTCCAATATTTTGTCATCAAAATACCATATTGAGTAGTACTTTTTGAAAATATGCTTCTCTGACCGCACAGTAGAATTAGTGTGATTTTACAAAAAATTACCGTCATACATTTGTGAATCACCCTCTAATTATACATATTTTTAATTGTACGTATGTACTAATGTCTTACTAAAACTCATAGTAAACGTGTGTATGCATTTTTTTCCTGAGATAGGAGTGTTTTCATCCAAAAATTCAACTTTTTTGCAAAATTTCGTATTTTAACTCACTAACGTTAGTTATTAATAATAAAATCTGTTACTCACCAAAATATTTTTCCAAGCAAATTTTAAAAGAAACACCCTATTATAAGCACTTTACCACTACTCTCCTGCACTCATTTCTCCACTTTTCTGCATTCAACTACACAATAATCCTCAAATTTACCCATGGATCATCATAGGCGTGCACTTAATATGTCATTCGTCTCAACCTAACGCACTTCATCAGTCCAGGTTCGACCCAAGCGTCTCAAAGATCACTTGTCCACTGAAGACTGAAGATGACCGGTCTATCGGTATTCGTACCTTCGGGCTCTAGGTGAATATTTTTCTGTGACGTTAGCAGCGTAGACCGGCTGCTCTCCTGTTTTCGATCGTTGCGTAGCAACGCTTTGGTTCTTTCGTTGGGTACCGTCTAACAGGTACTGATCGCTGTTGTTGGCCAGTTAGAGTGGTACTGAAGGCGAAAGAGAGGTGTTAGCCCGTTTCGCGTGTCCTGCTCGCAGGTGGAATGCGAAGTAGTGGCGATAAATCGATGGAATTTGGTGTGGCTACGTTGGTTCGCGGAAGAATTTTTTTCTTCCTTTGGCCGATGCAAAACGAGGGTTTGGTTTGTTGTTTCGTGCATATGTTTGAGAGATTACAAAGAAGCAATATTGAATCGTTTAAAGTTATATTGTGTTGTACGAGTATCCGATAGATAATAATAATAATTTTTATTATTTTAGTGTCATCAGCAAACATAGCGGTTTTAATATTAATCATGTTTGGTATATTGTAGGTAAATAAATAAAAGACAGGACCAAGAACGTTTTTTTGTGTTTATTTTAGTTTATTTTAACTCAGTAACTCCTCTTGTTTCCCCATCTCAAATCTATGTGTTATATACGATTTCAGAAATTGTACACATTGCTTTGGGAACATTTTTCCCAGATTTGCCCCAATTGTGTTACAAGTGCTTCATGCCAAACTTAATCAAACGCCTGCGTGATATCCAGAAATAGTGTGTTGTGAATCCGAATTGATGTTTTACTACTAATAGAGAAAGAGGCCTCTATGATTTTAGGTTTTGGTTATGAAAAGCGGATTGCAATGTGCCTTTCCTAGTGCTCACTAAATAGAGCTGTTCTAGCCCAAATGTGTTTTAAAATAAAATTTCAGCATTTTAATCTTTAGAAAAAGAAAATAATTAAAGTTTTACTTCAAGATATGTTATTATGTATTTGGAAAGTTGAGTTTCCATCTAGTTAAATAATATTAAGAGATCTAAACAATTTTTATAACAGATGGATATAAATAATTTTAGACTACTCTCATTTCAGAAATAATATTACATAAAATACTTAATTGCAATATGTAATACAATTTTGAAAAGGTAATGTAAACAACTTTGATATGAGGTATAAACAACTTTGGCAAGAGTTGTAATTGGACACTTATCTATTATTCTGAATAATGTTTAATGGTAATGTCACTAAAAAAATTTACAAAAAAATCACTGGATTTTTAATATTTTAAAGTTTGTTGCAATCTCTTTTGACAGTAATTGCAATGTATTATTTATGATTTGTTTATTTTAATAATAAATTAGAAATAGTTAATAAATTGTAAAGGGGGCCATGATATTTTTATCAAATTGGACATTCTTATTTCAAAATAACGTTCTACATTAGTTTTAATCAACAGAATAAACCACTAATTATCTGTAAAATTATATTTACATAAAATGTTCATTTAAATATGTAAAAATCTTAATGACAAGAAAACACTAAAGATTCTAATTTCTAAACTGGTTCTGTAAATGATTTCTTTACAACTAAGTGCTCAAAATTGATACAAGCTAGATAAAAAGAAAACTTTGCCCAGTGACCATTCTGTCCACCCGCTCCATCGGACATCGTTTGGATAGTAACTGCCAACAATTCTTCTTTAATTGTCTATCGTGTAGTTTCAAGCGGCCTTTTAGATATTGATCACAAATTTGTCTACTTCCGTTTTTATTTTTTTGTTTTGTTAAGTTATATTATGTCACCTAACTTGCTTTGGAATGGTTCCCAATTTGTTAGCTTTTTCAATTATATGTCGTTATTACTGGATGTTGGATCAAATGGTTCTTCCATTTTTATACAATTAGCTGTTATATTCTTAGTAATGGATAAATCTAACAAATCTGGTATTTTATTAGGGTCTGTAGGCTAGTATGTGGGTTTTCCGATAGCTGATTATATATGTAGTGAACATAAAAAAAAAACTTTATGGTTGGTGTTATGAATATCTGAAGAAATGAGTAAAGAATAAGACACTCATTAAATATAGGTTATTTAAAACCACCACTTTGTCCTCTATCTAACCCTAACTGATTCATATTTCCCAGTGAATCTCCCTGTATGGTATCCTATCGAAATATCTCTATACCATTTAATTTGGTTGTAGTAATATTTTATTTTTAAATAAAATAACAGTAACTCATAATTTAAAAACCCTCGTTTTTATTTTGAGGCCCATCAAAATGGGGGGTGTGGGTAACTCTCATCGCTCTACTATATACGACCTCAGCTTGCACCCTATCGAAAATAATCATTAATAGAAAAGGAATAAAAAAGGGGTCGGGGAATAGGTCGGCCTTCTCTTCGAATTTTTCTCTTTTTTTAATTATCTATACAACCAATATCTCAAAATACCAGAATTATTAAAAAAATGGTTCACCCCTCTTTCACTTGGAAGGAGGGGAAGTGGCTTTTCCTGCGGGGATGATAATGGTCCCTTCCAAAGAACGTCCAGATAATGTAATACCGTTTTAATCATTAATATCCGTTATAAAATCAATTTTGGGGGGAAGGTAGTAACGTAAATTGGAATAAAATTTACATTTTGGTCCTCTATACAACTGTGTGTGGAGGATAAAATGGGGGGGGGGGGCATCTAAAATCTACAGAACCCAAAGGTGAGCCATTTTCGGGACCAATTTTTTTTTCATAAGGAAGGGAGGGGGACAGGGTGGTAAAGGATGACATTTTTATCTCCTTAAAGTCCAATCCTTCGTGCCCTAAGTTCTATATATATCGACCTCGTCCCCTGGTGTGGTGGGAAAAGTGGGGGGAGGGAGTAAGTTGGGTGGTTTAAAATGGTATCAGACGGGATGTTATTAGTGTTTTTATCCCTTTCCATTTAGGCATGTCAAAGGAATAGGAGGGAAGTCGAAGGAGTGAGGGGGACAAGTAATTTTTTTTAGTTTTTCACGATCCTCTATTCGTCCATGTAGTATTGTAATATACTATTTCCAATTTTTTTTTTTTTTTGAAAACACTATAAAACTTATCAATATGTACTAAACAAAAATTAGAAAAAGAAAATCGGTTCTTAAACAGAAGAGAAAATGCTACTAAACTATTTTGTCTTCGCCTATTTATATGTAGATATTCTTTCTATATTGAAAAGTTTCTTCAGTTTTTCATGGAAATTTTAATGTTTTTGTTAAAAATTTATATACACTGGACAACATGTTTTTTAAAATTTAGAAATGGTCACCATTATTGTGCTAAAATTTCTTTTAGGCCTTTATCTTTCATATTTTTGTTACATTTTTTAAGTTTTCAAAATTGTAACGGCATTATTAAAAAAGAAAAACCCCTCGAAACCCTGACATTAAAACACAATCAAAATAACTTATAAATTAAAACATTTAGAAAATTATGTTATTAAGTCGTCAAATATCCATTATAATTTTATTTATTTAATAATATACATTTACCCAGTTAAGTCATTTGAATTTTAACATTTTAAATACTGCAGTCATTAAATATTGCAGAAGCAACATTGTTTGTATCTGATACGGACAATGTTCCAAATAGCGTTTATTGTATTTTAAGATAATAAGTCGTGAGATCTATTACGCTTATTTTGCACAAGAAACTATTGTTTACAAAATGAACAAATCTCACTTAGGTGTATCTTCAGATCTAGAACGGCGTATTTATTTTTGTCGTCCAAAATTAATCTTTTTACGAAATTGAAACGAAAGAGTTTCTAAGACGTATATTTTGAACAATGATAAGATAATTAAGTACAGGGGCATTACTGTCACTGTTACACGAAAGACGAAAGGTTTTTCCAAATAAATTCGATATAAATATATTATATATTTTTTAACTTGATATAAAGTTAGAATTAAAAAAATGTGCACAAGTTTTGTGGTGAGTTCAGTAAATTTAAAACCACCACCACCACTTAAGGTCGGGGACTTCTACTGATTTCTAAACGAATTTATGTCAAATTATATTATATTCAGAAGATGATGTTAACTCTTGGCTAGAAATAAAATTTCTGCAAATAATAACAGAAATCTTTGACTGTAAATATCGGCCGATTGGCGGGGGTTTGTTAAACTGTAAAGTATATTTTAGAATTTCACGCATTATATATGTATATCTTCATTCTAGTTTCTATCTGGGTAATGTTATGTACTGTGATAGGATTGATCTTATAAAATAAACATTTTGGTTTACTTGGTTTATTTGCCAATAAAAGGTAATTAAAAAATATATTATTTTATAATTATTTTTAATTGTACAAAATTCTTTAAAAAAAAAGTTTGAATAACGAAAACTAAGGAACAACATTGTGCTCATAGAGATGCAACGGATAGTTGTTTGGCCGGATAACAGATACCGAATATCCGGCGAGCTTCAAGGCCGGATAGCCGAATATCCGGCCCAATGTCTAGCGCCTGATGTGAGGATTCGAAAGTCGCGCAGGCGCAGCGAACGCGATTAGCAGGACGAGGAAAATCGTGCGGCCATTGTAAGGAAAATCAGTTGTTTGCTCGCTGCTTGCTACGTGATCTGCGTCGTAGAAAACCATTACAACATGTCAATGGTGAAAAAAATCGCCTATTTGGCAATATTTTGAAATAGATAAGGAAAATAATAAGTTTGTCTGCACAAATGTAATGATTGTTTTATAATCTTCCTTCAGGTACTTCTGCTATGAGTAATTATCTAAAATCAAAACATCCAGAGAAGTTTCTATTGACGAAATGAAGGGAAGACAAAGATGCTGGCTTGATGTACGAAAACAAGCGAAATCGACTGTTGTCTGCAAACTCCGACAATTTGGTCTTTATTCACCATAATTTACCACTTATTAATTTTGACTATTAAAAGATAGTTTTTGGTTTCCAGAAGAAGATTATTCTTTTTTGTTCTTTGTGACTTTTTGTGTTTTTGTAACTTTTTCAGCTTTAAATAAAAGTCATAATTTTAAGCCATTTAGTTATTATTAATAATTATTATTATTTACCAGAAAAAGATTTATTTATTAAAGTTGATTTCACGGAATTGTCACGCATTGTGTCATAATTATTGAATATCCGGTATCCGGCCGGATACTAAGCTACTATCCGACATCCGGCCGGATATTAAATTTAGGCCGGATAGGCCGAATACCGGTTAGTTTCTGGATATCCGTTTCATCTCTACAATAGTAGTTTGTGCAAAAAGAGTGGACCATATTGTGACCTGACATCGCATGAATTACTCATTTACCAAGCTCAATCTAGATAAATTTAAATAGATAAAACCACAACAAAAAAGAAAGTACTGGTCA